AATAACTGAAGAATTCAATCACTTGAATGCCAATGATTATTCCTATTGGAGTTTACATTTTAAAAAAGACAGCCCATCTGAATCCCTGTGAGAGCATTAAATTGCTGTCTAATTAGAAGTGCAAAATTACATATATTTAAAAGATAATTAAGGGTTTGAAGGCTGTTGAATAACTAGTTGTACATATAAATGAATCACTGAAAATTTGTTAGCAATATGTGAAGCTTTCTTTTATACTTTGCTTTCAGCTTTGAAGTTAGGTATAACTGAGCTCATGGGTTAAAGTCTGGTAGTATTAAGATAAAGGCAGATGTTTTTAATTATTTCTACTCAAACCCCAAATAATTATAAGCAGCTGCCAGTTTTACATAATCCTGAATGATAAGGTCCTGAGAATGCAAATAAAATCCTAAATAGAGAGGTTGTTTTTTTTTTTTTCTTCAGTTTAGTAAATTGCATACATGCTGCATTGCTAGTCAACTGCAATCCACCTGAAAATGCGAGCTCAGCCAATGTACTCTTTGTCCAGACTATAGATGTGTGACTTAAAGCTATTTTCTGTTCCCTTGCTTTTTACCTCCTGCTATGTATTTCCATATGTTGTTTCATCGATTCAACCATTTCTGCAGTATCTGTAATGCAAACACATATGTTATGGCTGTAAATAGAGAAATACAAATACATGTGGCACAAGATCTTTATTTTTTTTATTTTGCTAGAAGGTTCTTCTGTGTATGTGGTACATTTGATTGTTCCTGCTTTTTCTCTTCCTGGAAAATTCAAGTTGTGTTATTCTCTTTACCCCAGTGAATGATATGGCTCCTGTTGTCAGCTTTTCTGTGCAGTGTTGCTGGAAATTTTATAGTGTGGCAGTTTTTCACTACTATCTGGCATGAAAAACGAGTCCAAAATAACTGTTTTTCACTGCCAACCATAACCTAGAAACTTCAGGATTAATGACTTAAATAATAGGCTTATCATGAAAGTCTCCCTTTGGAAAGAGAAGTTCTTTTCCTAAAGAAATCATAATGTTACTTAAAATTATATATTTTAAAAGGACCTTTGTACAGCAAGCAACTTAGTTTCTGACATGATACCCATGCCTGCTTTACAAATTTAAGCTTTTGGTTGTCTTATTAGATACTTTCTCACTATCATATTTTTTCCCAGATGATTCCACGAATGGGGCTAGGCAAGTTCACTGAAGTTTAGTGATGTTTTAAGGCAATGTGAAGCTGCCCTGATGCTATCAGAGCAACTCTCATACCTCCCAGTTATCCAGATGGAGCACTTCTGAGAAACTGCAATCACCTTAGACCCAAGGCTTGCAGCTGCTAAGATGTAGCTTGCTCCTTCTGTGATCAGATGGCTGTACTTTGACTTAATAAACACGTGGCTGTATTTAGTGCAGATGGTTTGGGACTGCTTGTGTTAAATATATATATATATATATATATATATCAAAGAGCTTAAGAATGGCACATGTAAATGGTTGTATGGGAGGTGGTGAAAAAATGTGATTCAGTCCTTAAACTGTACACGTTGCACATTGTTTGAACGACCCAGTGCTGTAACAGTTTGGCCACGCCTGAAATAAAAGGTAGTCAGTAAGATAAAGCTCATTCTGATTACCAAATAAAATCATTTCCCCTGTTCTTCCCACAAACAAAAGACTATTGGAGCTAGCACTGAATTCTGAGCAGACTAAAAGATTCTTTATTCGCAGTCCAGGTATTTAAAAAATTTCACTGGCTATCATATTTTTCAAGGTTTAACTACTCTATAATATCACCACACAATTTATACTGGCCTAAGTAGATTAACATCACACAGTCTAAATCTAGCTCTTTTCCTCATGCACTTAAATCAGTGCAATTTGGTAGAGCTCCTAGTTTCTATCTTTCCCAATGGGTTCCTTACTAATTTGTTTCAGTGCTTTATAGTAATCTTGCGAATGGGATTGGCTTCAGTCTTCAATCAGTATTTTATATTTCACCCAGGAGTCTCAGACAGAGATAAAAGTGAAGCTAGATTCAGTATGCTACCAAAGAAAATGGCATAGATGAATGTCATTCTTAAAAGCTGGTGAATTGCTTCTATGCCCATGAATAACTTTTACTGAGAAATTAGTTTAGCAGTAAAAGTAGAATGAAACTAGAGAAGAATGAATTGTAGTTGCATGAAATACTTGACATCTGATCTCCTTGCATTTATGTTTTAGGTCATAGTTACATATGAATATGTAAATTTACTGTAAGGAGTAATCTTCACAAAAAAATAGGCATGTAAGTAAAGATACCCAGATACAGAAATAACTGCTATTTTTGTTACCAGAACAAAATCCTGTCCTTGCTGGTAATTGAATTTTTATTTTCGCTGCCATTCTTTCCCGAACTATATCATAAACATATTCTTCACATATTGAACTCCTGTGTAGGAATTAACACTAGTCCCCTAAAGTGTAATAACAGATTGAGAGGTTAGACTTCTTAGTACTTTATTACTTCCTGTCCTAAATATGGTTTAAGATCTGCACTTTCAGTTTATTCAAGTGTGTATGGAGTCTTCTGCTTGCTTAAGCACTGGGATTTTGGCTTGCTTTCTACTTATCTGAATTTTTGAGACATGGATATTTCCATTTCTGGCTTTGCTGCAAAACTTTGAATGTTTTATGCAGCACTTCATTTGGATGCTTTTGGATTTTGTTTTTGCTTTTTGCATGCACAATATGGAATCTATATAATTGAAATAAATAAAGCCATAATCAATAAGATACAAACAATTTATTATATACTCGAAGCCCACTTCTGCCGTCAGACACACGAGATCAATTCTTATTGTCATAAGTAAGGACTTGCACATGTGTCTGAGAATGCAGTATAGCCCAGAAGCCCTTCCACATCTGTGGGTAAGGATGTAATTAAACATTGGACACAGTACAGGAGTTGTTTCACATTTGTTCTACTCAAATGATCCCAGTTAATTTCTACGTAACACTTTTAAGCTCTCAGTATTTTGGATCTCTACTTCCACAATTCCTATGCTGGAGTAAATAAATAAGACCAGAGCTTTGCTTGGTTAATTGATGCAGCCACAGAGAATAGGCATAGTTAGTCCTTGTAACGATTAAAGATAATATTGATATAGCTACAGCCACAATTAGAGGTTTGCAAAGCATAGAAAGTTACCAAAATGAAGTCCTGCTCATGAAGCAGATGTTATCCTCTCCTTTTTATCCTTGTGAGATTTAACTATAGGGGCTTCCAAGTTTTGTACTTCGGTACTTGTGTATAGTTGTATAAGCTATCAGAGCATAGTGTGGAGCAAGAGTTAATTGCAGCCGTGAGATGCTTGAATTCACAATCTGGCATATGGACATGGACTGAAATGAGAAAATCTTTATATCTCTGAATATCCCATCTGTTGAATAGCATCAGCCCAGAAGAGGACACCCTGTTTGTTCTGAGAATGCAAACTTGTAGTAAAAGGGGCAGTAAAAATGCGTGAAATTATTCTTCTGTTACATTCATATGAACTGTCGGAAGTCAGTCTGAGAGTTGCACCAACAGAGTAGCGAGGATTTTTTTATGAATGAGATTTTTTTTTATGAGAATGAGAATTGACTCAGGATTTTATCCCGCATAGATTCCCAAAAGACTGATCAGTAAAAATAACTGTTTCCAAGTTCTTTTGAGGGAAATAATTTTGTACTAGCAGAAATATTACTGTTGTTCCAATATCTCAAAACCTGTGATTACAATTCAGCAGCTTTGTCATGCTTGTTTTTAAATACTGCTACCCTACAAAATCAGTGGTGAGATTCACATGAGAATAATTTAGAAAGGAAGGTATCAGGATGGGAGTAACCTTTCAAATGCTCAGAGACCAGGTCTCCATGGCCTCTCTGTGATGTGCAGACCAGGACTGCAAGTTCCTGCTGCAATGACCCCAGTGATAAACAGTACTGAGCACTTAAAGCTTTGATTGGTGGTATGGTTGGTCCTGCCCTGAGGGAGGAGAATCAGACACATATTGTTCCTTACTGGTGCAATCTCTATCCTATCGTTCTGTTTCTGAGGAGTTGCAGAATTGGAGTAATTCTCACAGTTCTCAGCACCTCTCATCATAACTCATGGAAAGACTTGTGGTCATCCTCTCCCTTATTTGCATAATAAAAGATAAATGGTCGTTATTCATATTGCACAGATCTGCTCCCATTTTTAAACATTTCAAATAGATTCTCATATTTTTTCTTAACTGTTCACAGACCTTCCTAAATACTTTTCTTCTTCCACTGATCAGGGTTTTTATTACGCTAGTGGGCTCACTCATTTGAATGTTCAGCAGAGGGCAGAATTTCCTATATTATAAATTCCCTAGTGTCAAATCAATTTGTCACTAGAATGTTTATTTAAAATGTGAGATTTACAGGGTAACAGTGACTAGTGATAAAAAAAAAAAAACCCTATAAATTATTAGTATATTACTTTTTTCCCATGAAGTTGTAGATAAAATGTAGTATCAGCAAATGTTAACACCACACTTCCCAAGACTTGCATCTTATCTTGTTTAAAGAGAAACGTGTAAACATTTTCTTGATAAGATTATAGCAAATATAACTTCCTGTACAGCTGAGATTGTTAGTTTGAGACATTTAACATAAACTATAAGAGGAAGGTCTAATGTAGGGTTCCATATGAGCTGAAAAGGTACAACTGCTGAATTTGACTTCTCTGTGTGTCCTTCATAACAACTTCATATCATGGCAACAGATCACGCAAATAATCATGTATGAAGTATTTTTTTAGTGCACAGAGTATATTTTTCCAGCAGTGTTGTTCATTATCTATCAATTAAGCTGCCTACTCTTTTAGGCGTAGTATTTCCGAATAAAATCAACATACATCCAAGTTAAAAAAAAAAAAAAAAAAAAAAAAACACTTCTGTTACAAAATTTTTGTAGAGGGTGTGCTAAACATTTCATTCTTTTTTTATGCCAGTATGAAGAAGGGAAGAAACGAAGAAAGCCCAACTACAGTAGTGTGGATCTTTCTGAGGTTGAGTGGGAAGACAGAGATGATGTGGTAAGCGATGTTTTAAAACCCTATCAGAAAGACTGTACGTGGAAATTGTTCAAGTAGTTATCAGAGCAGCCACTTGACTGCCCTCAGAAAGGGAAAAACAATAGTCCACTTTACCTGGTTCAGAATTTCATGACTTTTTTTTACATATATATATAGGCTCTCATATGTAAATGCACATGAACCTCTAACATAGACTCCTTGTATGTTTGGTAAAACCCGTCACCCAACTTGTATGCTCCACGCATCCTGTTGTATATTTTTGCTGGACAACAAGAGAAAGAGAATATCTCTCTTGGGCCCATCTAGACAACTGCTGAAGCTCAGAAATGAAACAGAGTGCCTAACTTCTCTTTAGGAGATCCCGCTTTCCTTAATGAAATAATGAGAACTTTTTTCCTTAGTGTACAAAATCCATATGAATAAGCAAATTGGATTCTCTGTTTAGAACAGAGTCGTTAAAGATTCTCTCAAAACTCCTAATTACCTACTACCAAAGTCAGGACTGCATGTCTGCGTTTTTCATAGATGTTTCTCTCTCCCCACCCTCTTTGTGAATGGTGAAACAGTTCATTTATGTTTTTAGCAATGGCTGTTTCATCAGGTGATAGATTGTCCTCTTCCTTTCCTAGGAGGCCGTCTTACTCCTTACTTAAACTTGGGCATTGGATTGTTTTTTGTATAGTTTTGCATCGTTTTATTTGCATGCATTACTTAAGACTTCCTCATTAGATGTTCATGTTCTGTACCAGCCTTCTGTAATCTTGGCAATCAGGCTGACTTCATACCTTACCTTTTATCTTTGACAGCATATTACTCAATCAGTTCCTCTGCAAATGACCTTTTTAAATTTTCTTCTCTCCTTTCAAATGTTATTGCAGTAGTTAAGTATGGCTTTTAAACCTTCATGAATTTGTTTTTCTTCTTGTTTCTCTTTGTTTTTGTTACTTTTTACTTCTTCCAATAATTTATCTGTTTAATTTCTACAGTTTTAATCATTCATTATTTATGATCTCTTAGAAATTCAGTGGTTTGGTTAAAGTAACATTGAAGCATTTATCAGACATTGGAAATTACATTTTATTTATAGTTGTGATTTGTTCTGAATGCACATGAAAGCAAGAAGTCCAGATTCAGCTCTCTCTAACTGTTTTCCTTGAAATCCCCAAGATCTGCCAGATTTTTTGAAAATTTCTAACATAAATTGAATTTTTCAAATCTGGAAACCTAAAGAAAGTTAAATTTCACATTCTGATAAAAGGTACATACATAAAATTTACCTTTCCCTGTAACGTAAAAAAGTGAAAAGGTGAATTTTAATTTTGACATAGAAACAAACAGCAGTCCTAATATTTCATCCTTTGAATGAGAAAAATATTTATCTACATTGCAAGTAAACTAAACTGAGCATAAACTGACAGGCCTCTGCCCTCCCCCCCCACCCCAGTCCCACAAAAAATGGGAAGGAAGGAAGGGAGGAAAAGAGCAGCAGCAACAATCTATGGAGGAAAACTTATTTTACTATAATATTGGAATACAAGATAACACAATATATACAATTTAATTGAAATTGAGATGAATAAATCAGACAAGATGAGAGAGAGAGTTCCCGGGACCGAGTCAAACCTGAAAAGCTTGGAACGGCTAGGAAAGCACCCTCCAGCACCCACTGCAAGGCAGCAAGAGAGCGCCCCCCCCACCCGGAAGGGCCAGATCCCGTGACTGCTGTAATGTACAGGGATAGGTACCTGGGATTGGGGCAGTGACACTTTAATGCCCCGTACACTACATGATGTTTTGATGTGGAATACTGAAACCCGGAAACAAAACAAAAACAAAAACAAAAACATAGAACCATAACACATTTGTAGAAAAAACCCGCTCCAGTGTCCAGTAATTAATTAAAAAAAAAAAAGGAAAAAAAAGATAAATCATAATTTAAATTATTTTTTAGAAATATTTAATACATAATAGAAAACAACTAGATGTTGTAGCATTGGACAACAGTCGTTTTGTAGAAGCATACACATTTACTGTTTGATGGTCAGTGGCAAGGTGTTTTCTGTAAAAACAGCATGTTGAGTATAGTAGAAAAAGTCTTAGCATTCTGCAGGTTTTCCTAATATTTTAGCAATGCCACACACAAGTGGACACTTGATGTAATAATCCAAACAGGAAAAAAAACACAAGTCATATTTTTACAGTTATTTTTAAAAGCAAGCCTGGTATTATTACACGTGTTTTGTGTTTATGAAATAATATACAAGTCAGTCATTTATACCATGTTTCTAAGGCCATTGGAGAGGCTTACTGTCTGAAACACTAATAGCAGAATAAATGAGAAAGAAGAATGAAATAAAAGAATATCAGAGCTACAGACAGAGTCTTTAATGACATTAGATCTAGAGAGAGACTTTGTTCTTGTTTTTTTCCAAGCTTTAGTAGTAAAGCATTGTTTGTTCCACTGTAGAGGGAAAGAATTCATGTATTCATAGAGCTGCCTTTAGCAGCATAGAAAACTATTGGTATATTTGTCTACTATTAAACAGTTATGTAGAGGCTGATTAGGCTGCTTACTTTTTACTACATCAATTCAATGGTTGCATAATTTTCCAAGTATATAGAATGATCTCACATTATAGCAGTGAAACTAGATTGTTAGCAATTGATTGGAAGACATTTAGTTGAAAGAGCAGTAATACTTATCACTATCAAGAGTTGAATGAATGAATAGGTTTTCTCCAGAGATTCAATATGGAAAAAGTGGCAGAAATAAGTTTAGAAATTTTTTGCTATGAAATGGAGTATGTATATTCATCTGTAATTTTTCAGGTTGAAGTATCTGCCATCTTGCTTTTACTTCATTTTATAATATACCATGATTTCTAGCTGAATGAAGGTTTGTTCTGGGGGCTCTTTTTGTTTTGTTTTTTGTTGTTGTTTTGTTTTGTTTGCTTGTTTTTTAATAAAACACTATGAATGACTCTTTGGGGCTCAAAGCCAATTGAGGCATTACTTATTTTATGCACTTGAGAAGGAAGATGGGACTGCAGAAGAACTGAGAAACCAGATTACAAAGCCAAGAAATGTAATCACAAGCAAAAAGACAAAGGAAAGTCAAACTCTAAGTTCCACATGCAGACTTGATCTTAAACACTACTGAGAGTTGGAGGCCCTTTTCATAAATCTATGACTTGCCTGAGGCTTGCAAGAGGAATGGGTCTCAGACAACTGCAGGCACCAATGGGAGAAAAATGAAAACCATGTTAAAGATAAATGGAACTGTTCTGTAAATGTTAGAAAGTAGATGGTTAATTAAGACCAGCTCTCCAAGTACAAAACCACAAAAGTTAAAATGGGAAAATATTTCCAGAATTGCCTATTATGTATTGTTAAAAAAATCTGCAGTAAAATATATGCTTTATTTTATACATGCCCCCAGCTAAAATTATCCTTTTACACTCACTGTCAGAAGAGTAAGCCTGTTAATGGAAATGTAGATGCTCCAGAATTAAATTTAAAGAGCGGCAAAGTTTGCAGTTTTAGATAGGACAGCCATACACAACTTCATCGTGAAAATAAAACCAGATATTTCACTGGCAATTTTGGGCGTTCTCTTTTCACTCTGTACTAACTCAGAAAGTCTGCAGAGTGCATTGACATGACTATCTTCACAAATTTTGATTAAAATCTGACTGAATTGCCCAGCCTGGCAATGAATGGCACGAAGTGCAGGAAAACAAGAAATATTTATTTTGCAAGAACGCTATGTCCAAAATTGTGTTCAGAGAGATAAGCAATAGAAGAGAGATAAAAAAGCTTGTTTTGTTGATATTATCCTGCATTTTCAATACCTCTACCAAGGCAGTGGGAATTTACCAGCAGTATTGAAGGGTTCCTATTGTAATGAAAATTGTTGTTGTAGAAGATTTAATTTATAGATGTTTCTTACCACAAGAAGCGTCCCACAAGTATGGCAATATCACGTTGTTATTGAAGATATCCCTTAAAAAAGGCACCTTAAACTTTCTGCTTCTTCCATCCATAAATCTGGGAGCATAAAATACTTTCATGTTTCTATGGTATAACTGTTAAGTAGTATGTTTGTAATTTCTTCCCTGAAATTCAGAACAGGAAGGTGGACAAATTCAGAATACAAATGCTGAGAATTTTTCAGAAACCAGGTCTTGTCATAGTTCAGTTTCAGCCCAACATCCCCATTCTCAGATGGGCTATGGTAGTGTAGCCTGTGCACCTTGCTAGGTACACCTCATGATTTTGGTGCATAGTCCTGATGAACAGCGATGGCATGTTCCCCTAAAAGAGAGACTGTGCCAACTGATGTCTTCCGGGAGGAAACCTCTCCTTTTCTGGGGAACAAATAGGTGTGCTAAGGAAAGGCACTGTAGATGTGATGTCTAAGGGATTTGTAGCACAAAACCTGGAACTCATGCAGAAGCTGGCATAAAGTTACTGAAGGGTACAGGGAGAAGCCTTTCAGGCCTCACAGAGCGCAGGAAGACACCTTGGAATCACAAGTGACTGGACATTTGTGGCAGTACAAACAGGAACAGATTTAACCAGCAGAATAGAAGGTAAATCATTCTGTATGAACACTTTGAGTATATATATTTTTTTTCATTGCAACTTTAAGTTTTCTCTCTTTGAAAAATAATTGTGAGTAGATCATAGTGCCCTGGAGCTGTGTGTTCCCATTGCAACAGGTTACTGATGAAGTGGGCTGTTGTGCTTCTACTACTTGCAATTTTTGATGCAATAGGGATGTAGTTTCTCATGCTGGTTTGGGATGCAACCAAATGTAGAGAGTAAAGCTGAAGCAGAGTGAATAATGAGGTCATAAATGGTCTTTTCTCTTTTTCTTTTGATATTTTATATATGACTATGAAGTATTTTAAAATGAACCTTGGTCTAACTCCAGGCACCAAGTCTAGTGCTTAACCCCCTCTATAGTAATGGCGTATTAGTTTTCAGTTAAACTGTTTATCCTGTGTAAAATCCAGATTACTACAGGAAGGGTTATTTTACCATTAAGGATGCTGAGAACTGCTTTCACACTTCCACAGTTTGCCTGAAGTTCTGTGGCAGGAGCCTTGGCCTATAGACTACCATAAAATCTGTAAGGGGTTTGTTTCATGTCTAGCAGAACTACTTATAACTGAATGCTTAGGTCATATGAATGTAGCAAAGAGCTCAAAGAATTGCAGAATTTGTAAATAAAGCATTTGATACACATTTCCTTCATTGTAGCTTCGAAATGCAATGGTGAATCGCAAAACAGGAAAATTCTCCATGGAAGTGAAGAAGACAGTGGACAAAGGGGTAATGTTTGAAATATCCTTCCAACTGGTTATAAAGCAAGCTGTTTGTTTTTGTTTCTGTTTTTTTTTTAATTTTTGCAACTTTTAGGATAGATTACTACAAGCGTTATTCACCATGGTATATTTTTTCACACCCTGAATGTATACATTGCTTGTAATTTTTATCACTGACTAACTGCTTGATTTTTTTATACTTTTCTTATGGCAAACTAACTGTTTTCCCCCTTCTTTTCTGACTTTCTTGTTCTGAATCTAGAAACGGGTATTGGTGATGACAAATGACTACTATTATACAGACATCAAGGGTACCCCATTCAGGTAGAGCCGACCATAATAAATGGCCGTTTCATCAGACTCATTGGACTTGCATTTGTACAGAGCTTGTGAACTCATTAAAAGCTCATCAGCAAAAGCTGACAATAAAATATCCCTGGACAATGCTGGAAATAGCAAGGGAAAGGAGCTAACTAGTATTCCTTTCAGCTTTTCCAGGGATGGAAAGTTTGTGCAAGCTCACACAGGCAAACTTTCAGTGTTTGTCATGGCTTACGTTTCATTAAAAAAATATTCAGTTGAGGTTTACATTGAACGAAGGGCCTTTGCAAGTACATAGAGAGCTATAAATACTGTAATCCATTTAAGTAATTACGTATTGACCCTTATTTTGATTTTTTCAACAACAAAATGTAGTGTAAAATGAGGTAGTATTTCACTTCTATTTTGAGGTTTGGATATTTTGTTTCTCTGAACTACCTAGAGTGTATTTGTGTAAATAAAACTGAGCGAGGCAGCCATGTTATTTTGCCACGCTTCTTAGCAAAAATAAAAAAAGGCAAGAAGTCACTTTATAAATGCTCATATTTGAGTTAGAACTAATCCATTAACAAAATAATGTTGACTGAACCTTATCCTTAAAGCAGGAGTCTGAGAATTAAAGTACTCAACTGAAATTTTCTTCAATGGAACCTCAACACAGAACTCAAGCTACGTTTTTACATAGAGAAAATATAGGCACATTTCTCATCTCTGATGCATGTGTTTATTCTTCTTAAAATCCACACATGTGTTGTTAAACTCAGTGTAATTTTTGTGGAATGTCATTTTTACTCTATTTAGTAAACAGATGTGTGACTACATATATGCGTGCAGTATGGCTTCCAATCCTTAGGACAGAAATAATAGTAGTAAAATTCTCCTTTTTCAAAATGATCTGTATGTAGTTATGATGGGATGAGAACATAGCTTCAGGAAGACAGCAGGGGCAACATTTATTAAAATATATACTGAAATGTCAAAGATGTTTACTTTCTGCCTATTTCCAGATTGAGCTTTTGATTGCATCATGTGTGCTCTTGGATTTGATGCCTCTACATATCCTTAAAGGATGAACCCGTGCTTTTCAGTTGTAATGATTACAGACAGGATCCTAACCTGAGATACTTTCTGGCATTCATTTATTTAAGGCAGTTATCCTGTGTATGTATTCCATATGAAGAGCCATGTATCCTCCATCTGGTTCATTACATTTGAATTCTGTTAATGGTGGATGAAAAGCAACACAAAACAAAGCACTTAACTGTAAAAGTTTATGAGGCTAAAGTTATTGCAAAAATATTAAACTAGGAAAAAAATATGAATAGCAGAAGAATCCAAGAAGAATCGTGCTGCTGTTGCTACATATGAAATTATTTTCTTCTCAGTAGCTCCACTGATTCCAACGCTTATGAGTTTCTAAACATCTTAGTCTTGTTTCCTTCAATGTAAAGCCATAGGTATGTTCAAGGCTCAGCTGAAGATGTGTCATGCTGGGTAAGCTTAGAGGGGCATGTTTATTAGTTTGCAAGATAATACTGATGTACTGCACTTCTAAACACACTTAACAAAGGCAGTTGTTGTAGGCTCGTCAGAACAGATCCATCAGATCCTACAGAAGCAGCTAGTTGAACAATGTGATCAGTGAGGCTTTGGAAACAGTTTTTTTAAGTTAATAAACATACATAAGCTAGAAATGTTAGAATTGAAAATATCTCTGAATGTCTGTTTTTGTGTCACAGATTTCAAGGTCTGCTCTATTTCTCTGCACAGTTTAGGTGTGGCTCTCTCTAGAGGACATGGAAAATATTTCTTCAGAGGGAATGTAACTGTGGAAGAAGGTAAGATACTCTACTTCTCGTGTTCCTTACACAGTAGTTGAACTGTTGACCTAGTAGACCTAAAGCTTGCATGTTTCTCTGCAGATTCCATGAAGGAATTAGATTTTATTTTTAAGACCTTCTACTTCATGGGATTTTTTTCCTCATTTATATTACGCATAGTGAGGCCTTGAATTTTCTTTAGATGGGCATCATTTCCGCTCCTCCTCTCTCAGTGTTTCACAAACTTGTTGAACACCTCCAGGGATGATGACTCCATCACCTCCCTGGACAGCGTGTTCCAATACCTCACCATTCTTTTTCAGAGAAGAAATTATTCCTAACATCCAACCTGAACTTCCCTTGGCGTGGAACTTGAGGCCATCACCTCTCCTCCTATCATTGGTACTGAGAAGAGATTGACCCCCACCTCATTACAACTTTCCTTTATGGAGTGCAAAAAGCAATAAGTTTTCCTTGACCATTCTGTACATGGTGTACCTATCCAGTGGAGGAGTTTTATACTGTTAGGTGGTGAGGTTCTGGCAGTTCCTGACAAAGTGAGTCTTATAGGAGAGGAAATTTATCTGATTTTATTCCAAAATCTTTGTTTCCAATTCTGCTTCTTAATTCAATGGTGATTTTAATATAGTTTTTCAGATCTTTGTTCCTCAGCTTTGTTTGGCTAAAAAAAAGTTCATGTTTCTAGAAGATATATAAAAAGAAATGTTTGAAAGTTTATGAATCAGAAAAAAATATGTAGATTTAAAAAAAAAAAATAAATCTGGATATGAAGAGAGCACAGCAGGAAGCTTGGAGCTTACTCTCCAAACTGCTCCCAACCTACCTTTCACAATTATCCATCTCAGCCAGCCATTCTGATACTTCTTTCAGATCATCACCCGCTAACAAAGCCATAACCAACCATTCCTTTTCTCTCATTCTTTCTTGTCTTTCTGACTGATTCTCTGTCACTGGCACATCTCTGTCCTCTCCAAGTAATACTATTGGTATTCTTGTTTTGAATTCCCTCTTTGCCCTTATTCACCATGGCTCTGTCTTTATGTAGTATGGGCTCTGAGGGTTAAACCCAGAGACTGCCTTCTGAACCATATTTGCTTATTGTCTATTGATACATGCTTTAAGAGTTTTGAAAATTGCCATTTTTATTGTGCTATATAGCTAATGATATAGTTCTTATTTACAAGCATTTGCGTGGCCAGTTAGAACAATAAACCTTTTCTGAACAATCTTGTAAACTGCTATTTGTGCTAATAGAGAGTATGCTTAGGTTTTGGGATTTGTTCCTTTTAAAGAAATATTATTTAAAAGAGAAAGAGAAAAACTCCCATAAAAAGAGAAGTATACATTTTAGCATAAAGAACTTCACTAGCCACAAAGAACAAGGGAATATGAATAAGTGGTTTTGTTTTGTTTTTTGTTTGTTTGTTTGGTTGGTTGATTGGTTGGGTTTTTTTTCTGCTTTTTTAGCATTGTGCATTGCTCTGTTCAGGTTTTCTTCTCAACTTCAAGTGCATTGCATGAGCAGTTTGTATGAGTTAAACATGTCAATGCAAAAACATTTTTTCATTCCTTTTCATTTTTAGATCTGATTTAGTTGGGTTTTGCCATTCTGTTAGGCTCTACAATGTATTTGAATAGTTTACTGTGATTTATTATATTGTGGTAATAATGCACTTTCCAAGAAGGAAGGGTTTATGTTATGGAGTGTATGTTAATAACCATCTGTTACCCAGACTGCTCCCTAAATAAACCATTATTATTCCTGTTACAGGTTTACATGATTTAGAACACCCTGATGTATCTTTAGCAGATGAATGGTAAGCCTTAAACAAAGCATGAAATTGGTGTCTGTTACCCTTCTTGGCTTCGTATTGTTTGTGCTTTCTGAAACCAATTCTTTATGTTCAAAGAGAGATCATGCCTATGCATAATAACGTTTTAATGTTTCGACAATATGTTCTCAGGTCCTATTGCAACACAGACTTGCATCCTGAACACCGCCAAATGACTCAGTTAGAAGCAATTAAACGCTACCTCACAGGAAAAGAGCCATTGCTCCAATGCAAGTATTTTGTTAAGTATACATGTAGTAGACTTTATCCCAGCTAAAAACTGTTACGCTGTACTTTCTATGCAAAACGCAAAGCTACGTAGTTAGATAACTTGAGATTGGATTGCATGGCTGATATCACTTTCAAATTTCATTTGTTTTTGAGCTTTTTCCAGAGGATTTGTAAAAATACAGATGATACAGAATTCTGGGTTTTATGGTAAACAATGTGCCTAAGCCAAATATTCAAATTTCTGTTCAGATGGTATTGCTATACCATGCAATATTATCATTTGGTTTCGTAAGTTAAACAGAGTTAGTCTGAATCAATCCTTGGATCACTCCTCTAAAAAATGTACCAGATATTTCCAGAGTGCCTTAGGGACAATATGTATGAAGTTAGCATTTCTGGACTGCAAAACAAAATTAAAAAGTCACATAGATTAGTGCATATTTTCTCTGAGATCTTTTCATGAACTTAAAGCTTTTGTGACCTAGTGGACAGAATGGTTTTAACCTCATTTTATATGAAAATGCAAGCATGAGATATGTACAGGAATGTGTTACATGGAGTGGAAAATGCGTTTTTTTTTGCCTTTATAGTTATTAGTAATTGTTTGTGCATTGAAATAACATGAGAAAAACTACAGTGCAGTTACATATCATATAGTATTATGTAGTAAATGCTTTATATTGCAAAAGACTTGAACAAAATACAGTAGAGTCTAAAAAAATCATTGTTTAGTCATCTAACTGCAACAGAAATTATCTGCATGCGTGTTTACTGATTTTAATATAACATTATAGGTGATAAAGAATTGATCCAGGAAGTTCTGTTTGATGCAGTGGTGAGTGCACCAATTGAAGCTTATTGGACCAGTTTAGCACTAAATAAATCAGAGTAAGTAAACTTTGAATCAGTCATTATGATCGTGATTGACATGTAATAGTAATGTGTAAAAACCGGTAAAATGCTTTGCAAATCCTGGTGTTTTGTCAGATTACCAAGATTTATTTGAATCAGATTTTTCATTCCTTTTAGTTTATTTACTCAGGAATTTTAATTTTGCAAATACATTAAAGAGAATTAAAAGAGCATATTAACCAATGTATCTTAAGTACCACCAATTTTGAATTCAGTATTGTTTATGTTGCACTGTACATCATGATGATTAGTAGCATAAGGTTACTCAAATTTTACAATATATCTAATGAGATCGTATATGAAGCACAGCATACAACTGAGACTATTTCTAACAACTGTTTAGAGTAATTGAGGAATTTAATGCATAATTTACCGAAACTGTTTACTGAACTGGTAATTTGTCTTAGAACAAATTATATACAATTATATGGAGAATTTATTTTATTTTATTTTATTTTATTTTATTTTATTTTATTTTATTTATTTGCAGAGCCAAGTGTTAAGCAACAAGATATATATGTTAGGGAAAGCAGATGTTAAGATTAGCAGTTTGCATGAGATGCTGCTGATAAAAGGCAATTCTGAGAGTTATCCTGATTAGCTTTTGTTAAATTTGCATCATATTTAAAATCTGCAAGGAAAAGATATTGTTGGAAATACATACTGAATAAGTAAAATCGAATTCAATGAGACCTAATTCAGCAGGCTGATTCCCCAGTGTCCTCTTTGAAGATAAAGATAGGAAAATATTGCATGCTAGTATGCTGTAGGCATCAGTTAATGTATATAAGAAGTTTTAGGCTTTTAGGAATCCTCCTACACAATGAATTAACAACAGGTCCAGTAAAAACAAGGACGACAACCTCAGAGACATACTAGTCAGAGACTTGATCCCCTTTCATATTCTCATTTACACTAACAAGATAGGACATTTTGGAACAAAGCATGTGAGGCTCTTCTAGTCATACAGCAGCTAGTTTTTAGAACAGCTACTTTGGTCCTGATAGCAGTGCAGAAAGAGCATTTGGCCTGAACTACCTGACACATTTTTTCCTAAGGTCCAGCAGGAGATAGCAGTCCTAATGGCAGCTACATTTGATTCTGAGCTAGCTGTTTAAATCTAGCTAAGTTTTTGATGCTGGAACAGCAGTCACAGCTATGGCTTGAAGTGTAGGTGTACCATCTAAATAACATTTCTACACTGTATATTTGCCACATCTAAAAAGTAATATTAAGTACAGTTGCTTTTTTATTTTTTATCTTATTCAAAAATGTGTACGTTTGTATTTTCAGTGACCAATAATATAGCTTCATCTGCTTACTGTCTGGAAACATTGTCTTTTGTTTGTGTTCTGCTCTATTTCAGAAATTCTGACAAGGGAGTAGAAGTTGCCTTCCTTGGAACACGGACTGGACTATCTCGTATCAACCTGTTTGTGGGTCCAGAACAGCTTACTAATCAGTAAGTAACAAACCTATGCTTGGCAACTATGTGTGAAAACGAGAAAAATTGTTCATTTTTAGAAAGCATGCCTACTGTCGCTTCCAGGCTTTTGCATTTGTGCACTAAAATACGTAGGACAAATTAGGAAGATTGAATAGAATTCTTGTATATTTACAACCATAGATTTCATTTTCCCTCATTTTTCAAGTTAGCTTTATACCTTTTCTATTCAAAAGGGAGTTCAGAATATGCTACATCTGTAGGAAATATATATATATATATTTAATATATCCTCTGAAAAAATATTATGTACTTTTTAGAGTTTGTAACTTATTGCTGTGGATTCTTTTTTAAAATTGAAACAAAGCTAACAGGAGTGGACTAGGTGAAAGGATCATCAGGAGATCTCATCATTCAAAAGATTCCTTTTTTTTTTTTTTTTGCATTTTTGAAGATGTGATGTAATGCAGGTACAGCTTTCTTAAGATGGAGAGCCATAAAATAAGGTCTGATAATTAATGACTTTTTTAGTCAGCACTTTAGTAATGTCAGGCAAATATAGGCATTATACATGTGAAAAAAAACATGCGCTTTATGATAAATTAAGTTTATTGAATATAAAATTGTATGATGCCTATCTGACCACAAACTATTGTAGTGTAAGTAGTCCAAGAGATGAGATCAGTAGCACTACAGTTTCTTACTGTCAGACAACAAACCAGAACAATAGCTTGGAGACCATACTTGGTATTTATTCTCAGAGAAATTTTCCTCTGTCAACATTCCATGAAATCATTGACAAATTAAGTATGCAGTTTTCCACTACCTCTCCTTACCTATAATTTGGAAAGTAGGCTGTTAATTACTTTGTTAGGGTTGTTTTTTGGTTTGTTTTTTGTTTGTTTGTTTGTTTGTTTTCTTAGAAATAGATACCAATGGCAGCAAGCTGTCAAACCTTCAGTGACTTTTTCATTGTACAATTCTTGTGTTCTGCTGTTAAATGATTCCAAATGAGCAATTTTATTTTATATCAGTAAAAGTGTATTTAGTACTTAGTTTGTGAGGTTTTCCAATTGCAAATCTGTTACGAATGAGTAGTAGGGACTTAAGTTAACCCTCTCTTGTACAAATGATATTAGATTAACTGTCCAAAGTCATTTTATTTCCTAAAACATTGAGCTTTGTCTTTTTTTTCTCTTCTCTTTCAAATCTAGACATTACTGTGTGACATACAACAAATAAGTATTTTCTTTCTCTCTTCTTTCTCAAGAGATTTCCTGACAGCTGAAGACAAGGAAAACATTTTTAATGCTGATCATTTTCCACTCTGGTACAGAAGAGCTGCTGAGCAAATACCCGGGAGCTTTGTCTATTCAATCCCATTTAGTACAGGTCTATAATTTTGTCTTTATCTATGTTCTGAACCATATATGTTACCAAAAGGATAGCAAGTTTTTCAGAGCACAAAGGCTGTGTACTTAAGCTGAAATGTTAATATTAAAATACAAAAATATGCATTGAAATCTGCAGGTAGTTTACTGGTCCTTTGACCTGATACATCTTTTACAGGGCTCCAAGTGAAAACCCAAGATATTATGTAACTGTTGTTGAATATTTGCCTAAATTGAATTTGCAGCTTTGTATTTTAAGCAAGTCCAAAATTACAACTACTCGCATCTCTGAGAAGCCCAACCAGTTGTCATCTTTGTTGCAATTCTTATCAGAAAAGGCGAGATTGTCTCGCTAATGTCTGTGATTTAACCTTGTTGGGCTGCTTAGGAATTTTGCAACATCAGTGCTTGTATGTTCTGTTCATACATACACCATATTTGCTGTCTTTTAGCATATTTCCTGAGCACTGCATTCACTAAATTATTTTGAACTACAGGAAAAAAAAAAAAAAAAAAAAAAAAAAAGGTGAATTTCCTTATTCTGAAATATGTTTGTTTGTTTGTTTGTTTGTTTTCTTATTATACCTTGTAGAAACAGCAAACAAAAGCAATGTAGTGACAGCCAGTACTGCCATTCAGCTTTTGGATGACAGAAAATCTCCAGTCGTTGCAGGTAAAATTCTTATAGTTTATTTGTTTTGTTCATTTTTTTAAAGCAGTGTATGAGTTCCTCACTTTTTATTTTAGTTTGGCAATTATATTATGTAGGAATATAATGTTTTGAGAAGAGAGGAGGAAAAGCTGCAGTTGTATGAGAAATAATTGAATCCCTTAATAAAGAGAACACTTAATGATTCCCCTGCCTAAAAACCTGATCTTTTATTAATTGGCTATCCAAGGTCTCCATGAGCAATGGAGTTTAATAGAAATAACAATAAGCATTTTTTTGTGGATGCAATTCCACATAATCATAAAACAGAATCATAGATTCTTGTATTCTACTACATCATAAAACAGAATATCTTAGATTAAGCAAAAGGAGATGTAAGTAATGACTGTCTGTTGTGTAAGGATTCCACAGAATCCTCAGGTTTGAAAATCCTATTCTGTAATAAATACTGTGAAGTAATCAGTTTGCTTAGGTTATGCAAGTTGTGATTAGACCATAAAATATTAACTGGAAAACAAAACTCTACCATTTATCAATCAGCCAAGATTATAATCTATTAAATTATAATCATAAGCATTATATTAGATAGATAAATTATATATAATAGCCTATTAGAATATAATGCTAAAATTATAATCCTAAAGACTAAAAAGTGAAGTTTGGCAACTGTAGATTAGACATAAAACATACGAATTGAAAAATGTATTAATTTTTAATTGTTGGACATTGCTCACTTATTTTCAGATGCTTTTACTGCTTAGTTTTCTCAACATATCTACTGTTACTGAACCTGAAGTGGGAATTAAATTAAAGAAACTTCATGGCTTTTTCCAGAAATCAAGCCATTTTAGAGAAAATTAGGTAGCTACCCCATGAAACAAGATCCTATTCTTCTCATATAGATTTTTTTTTACTTCTCCCTTATTTTTTCATTTTTCGTTTTTCATTAGGAGTGAAGGTCCTTTTAAGATCTATATAAACCATTTTGCATGAAAGTATCAGTCAGCCACAGCCAGTACGAGACAAATAAGTACATGCATTATTTTTGTCCTCTTTCGGATGAAGATCATAAGCGTACTTTGACATTTGTATTTTTTTTCCATCAACAACTCTCAACAAAGTACCCAGTGTCTGGCCCAAATTTTAGATTTGATTATAGGGTCGACATTGGTCCTTTTAAGCAAATGTGTCTAGGACAGAAGCTGTAGCAGAGGTAAACGGTCAAAGTTTGAAGGTTTTGTTTGCCAGACTTGAGAGACTGAAGTAGGATATATTTTCAAATGCTTACATTCAGGTTCAGATTTGGCTAAAATATCTCATTTTAATTTGGGTGAACTAAGTATTTCTCATTCCCATTTGGTCTAAGTGGATTACAGAAAGCAGAAGCCTGATATGCACATTTCATATAAAAATCACTGTGTTCCCAAGAGGGGTTTGACTGAAAGTAAAGCTGTGCCAGAATATTGTTTATTGCAGATAACTACAAGAGTTTAAGACAGGCAAAGAGAAAATAGAGCATTGCTATGAAATGGAAACGTGAGTTAGAACTGCCCACAAGAATGGAGGAAAAAAGAAGAAAACTAGCCCTTTCTGCACATTCTGCAACCATGTTTTCTTAATCGTTTTTGTTTGATTCTATACTTGTAGGTAATGAGCAGTTATAACAATATGCAAATTTAGATAAGGCTCATTGGAAGTAGGACGACTCAATCCTGTAATGTAGGCACTAATTCCTAGTGTTAGTGAGTCTCCAGACTTACTACAGGAAACTTGAAGTGATTTGTTTTCTAAAATCCCCTGTCTCTTTCAGCTGACTTTTTTTTTTTTTTTTTTTTTCCCCGAGTGCAAGTTTCTATGGCAAGTGTGAAAGGAGATAAGTCTTTAATGTATTTGAGGTAACAGCATGCTTATTACTCTTTGCACAGAGCCCAATTTACTTGCAGGAGAGACAAGGAAAGCAGGTTTTTTTGCATTTAAACCATGTTTATGCTCAAATTTTTTTGTCTTAGTATTCTCTGTTATCATGCTTCCTGTATTTAATTTACATTATAATGATCAGTTTCTTCATACTGCCCACATTACAAAGCTAAGGAGAACAACAGATGGTAAAATTTTGTTTTGTTCTTCCAAGATGCAAAAGTTGTAGAATTACCCTAGAGAAGACCAGGCTGGAATGGACCTCAGAGATCACCTGGTCCAACCTTTCATGTCCAAAGTGGGGTCTAGACAAGGTTTTAATAAATCTTCTCTAGCTGGAATGTAATATTAGAAGCTATATAAAGGCAATGTTGCTTTTAGTGGCAAAGGTAGCAGCAGTCGATATGGGATTTCTCAATCTAGTTATTATAAATGGAGAAAATTGACTGAATTAAATCTTCCGACGTTCATTTGAAAAGTAGTATATCTATGTGAAATGTTGATAGCATTCAGCACAAGGGTTTTGTATTCTTTGATATTGCATGACGACCAAACTTAGTTCACATTCTTGATGTGAGCATCTACTTCCAAATGCCTGAGGGCACCTATGTGAATGCAACATAGAACTTGTACAATCTGTACATGTTTGTTTTTAGTTCCTTTTTGAACCAAGAAAAGTGATGGTTTCATCATCATAATTTTGTTTAAAATCAATTTCTAAAGATATAGACTGGTTATATACATGAATTCGTTGTACAGATGACCCAAAGTTCAGCCACTGTCAGTGTCTCATTGACTGAAAATCTATTTTAGTGATTCTGCCAATCATTAACATCTTGAACAGTAGTTGTGCTTTACATGTAGTCCTTTCAAGAGAATATATTTACTGTTACTTTTCAGGATGATTAAAGATGGCCCTTTTTTTTTTTTTTTTTTTCTCATGGCCGTAATTTTCTGCTGGGAAGCACTTAAAAGATAAGAAGAAAATAGGAGATACTTTTTAATAATGACAATTCATATTTTTACTTAAAGTCTTGTCTATCTTTAGGTATGTGATACATAAAGTTCTGGTGAAGCTGTCCTTCAAATACATCTCAGGTGCATTCAGTTCCATGGTACATGATGCAAAAGTAGCCAACAGACTACTCCCTTGTTTTCTGCCACAAAGTGATGCCGTGAGACCAATAGAAATAATTTATCACAGAAAACATTTATTAGGAAGAAATTTGATTCAGCTTACATGAATGGAAGGAATAGCTTTTAAAATTGTGCTGCTGATTTCTGCTTAAAAAGCAGATCATACCTGTTACTTAATGTTTATATATCACTTACATTTAAAATTACATCAGAGTATATTTGTAAAAATATATCTGAAGCAGTTCTTTGTAATTAGGAGGAGGTCTTCTCCTCTGTGGATACTCACTCTGTCATCATCACTATCAGGATCATCAGTTTTTTAAATACTTATATTTAAATATAGTATTTTTTATATTTAAATACAGATTTTTAAATAATTTTACCAAAAATCCTTACTATGCAAACATAGAATATTACGTTTTACACCAGTAAATAGATTGGCCAAGGTAAAACTAAGCTCATTTTGCTTTCCAGTATTTAACTATTCAGATTGGATTCTTTCTAGAGCCCAAAGTTTTTGTCTCCAAACAGGAAATTATTTTATTCTGTGTTTAATATTGCCAAACAAGATGATAAAATTCTTCAGATATTTTGAATGATACGATTTGAAAATTTAGGTCCTCCTTTTTGTTTCCCCATCCATAAAATAAGTGAAATTTTTATCATACTTTCTTTCAGCACTAATTTGTTAAAAATGACATGTGATTTTGAATGCCACAGTAAAGTGACCCTGAAAATCCTGCTGTTTAAGCTATTTCAATCCGTGCCTTGAGGAAAAAAAAAAAAGAATGACCTAAACTCTCACATTACTCTTAAAATACAAGTATGTCTGTTTTAGGCTGGTCACACTTCAGGTTTTTTTCATCTTTCTCTTTGAATCAGCTTCTGCAGTACAGCAGTTTGAAAGGAGAATCAAGAAGCATACCAGTTTTCCAGTAACTGAGACTTAGTTATGTAGGCTCTAAGCAAGCAAGATCTTTTTATATTTTTATGGAGGAAAATGTGAGTATTGTATGGGAGACTAGCTGCCTTTAAATGACAAAACTTATGATCTTCATCTTCTTTCTGGTGTGTTAGCAATCATATAAATGCTACTTTGAAATTCTATTTAGGATTTTTATTATTTTTTTTTTCCATGAATTAGAATGAAGTTCGTATGCACATCTCTCTTTGAGCAAGATCCAGCACATGTTTTGAAGAAGTGACTCCCATTAATTTAATTAAAACTAGCTTGAACTACTTTTATTTCTAGGAGTGGCAGGTATTGTAAATGTCTCACAAATAGTTAAGTCATCTATTGTTTCAACAGCACAACAGTATTGTATCTATTTTAAACCTCTCAGTTCTGCTTGCATTTTTTTTTCCCCTTTTTGCTACGTGAATTGCTTTGGTATTACTATATTAAAAACATGCGTGCAAATGTCACTGTCATACACAGTCCTTAAAATTTATGGCACTATCCATAAAACTGCTTTTTAGTATGAAGGCTTAAGGGAAAATGAATATGTCATCAGAATGACACACCAACCAAATTGTTGAATCGTTCTAAAATAGATGTTTTCCTTGTCAGGCAAGACAGTGATTTACTTAATCTTTACTCCACATTGTAAGCCACAGAAGATTATATTCAGCAGTAGTGTTTAGTAAATCCCTCAAAATGCTTTGCATGCTTTGGTGGAAAACCACTATTTTATTTTTTTTCTGCAGTTTCTTGTTCATTTTGAATATTATCTGTGTACTCATAAATGTAATATTAGTCTATAGACTAGTGTTTTCAGCTTCAGGAAAATTGGAATGTGTATTTGTACAGTCTAGCATTAAATAACTGATGGACTCAGGATAAAAGCCATGACTTGCTTAGGAAATGTACTCTGTAGGTAATGCATGAAGACATGCAGAGTGCCCTACTGAGTGCTTCAGAACAAGTAGTTAGATTCTGCTTCTCACCACCACCCGAGCAGTGAATCTAAAGTTAGATGGTATACTCAGAATTCACGTATTTGCATTCATTTCTATTTGTTCTCAAGTAATTTTACCATACAGAATTAGTATTTGGATTAATCAAATAACATGGCTCTTTAAGATGTTTCTTTGCTAGTATTTGCTCCAGAATGTAAACCCTGTTTAATTCTTGGGCTCTCCTTAGCAGTTCTCTGGTGGATGAATTAGATCAATTTCCCAACCTGTACAATAGGACAGATACAGAGTAAATTCCACAGAGCATTTTTCACTTCTGCACTTTTCCTTTGCTTTTGGGGTTTGTTTGTTCATTCGATTTTGAGCTTAAGTAGAAGAATGAATCTTGTGATCTAAAGCAATCTGATTCTAAATAATTCTGAATAATTCTTCTGGCACAATAAATCCTTGATTGTAGTATGACACAGCAGAAAAGACGTCAGGTACTTTTAAAAAATTCAAATAACACAGCACAAGGATGAAACTCAAAAGCACTTTGAATGATTCTCTGCCGTTACGTAGTATATGAATACGTTAACTCCAGTTTAAGTACTGGGGATCAATTAATCCGTTTCCCACTGTAAAAATATTTGAAAACATTAGCAGTTTTACTGTGTGTTTGTTTTGTCTTGAACTGAGATGGTAATCTTGCACAAAAATTCATACCTATATTGTGTACAGCCGTAAAACTATGCGGTATCCCTCAGTAATCAGAGACAACTGTGCCTTTCACTGGTTTGTTTATTATGGATTTCCAGTTCCTACTCCTTCTCCCCTGTTGTGGCTTACTGCCATATCCAGATGACTGATGTTGCTGCCTGTCTCATCTGGGGAGTGTACAGTCACATTTCAGATGATATAAGCCTAGGACGTATTGAGACCTTTTGTGATTGTTATTACTGTGACACTTTTCAACCACGTTCAAAGATCAAAGCTGTAAAATTCAGCATGCTTTCTGTAAGCTTAACTAAAACCTGCACATCTTTGTGTTTGGGCCAGCAAAGATAAATGGTTATTAGTAGGCAACAGTTGGTCGCTTATTGTTAATGCTGTTAATGATAAGCTGTGTGTAATGTCATTCAACTCTACTTTGATATTCAAGAAGAGTGATCCTGATTTTGGTAGGACGTGGGAAGACTTTTTTTTTTTTTGCAAGTTTTGAATGGAAAGGCACATATGGCAAACAAATATGTTTCAATTTAAGCTTTATTTCTTTTGATGTAGTTTCTAAGGACAATTCCTGTAAAGAATATTACCATATTGTCATTTCTAAATTCTTCTAAATTGACATTTTAGAAGGCCAGCTTTTCAGAAAACATAGTAATATTGTTAATCTCTATATAATATTCAGGAATAAAACAATATATTTTCTTTACCTTTGCAAATACTGTGGCAAATAATGTATCCTGATTTTTTTTTTTTTTTTAATTTTATTTTGCTGAAAGAAGATTAGAAAAAAAAATACTGTGCTTACCATAATACCACTTACTAGATTGCTGGAAAAATAACAAAGCTTTCTCAGCAACCTTTATCTGAAATATAAAGCTGTGCAGACAACTTATTTCAGCAGCAGATGTCCACTGCTAAGCTTCACAAATTAAGGATGCTTCTGTGGGGAATCCCTAGATCCCGTCTACTACGTTACAGTCAACAGTCGTTATGGACAATTTGTTATAGGCAACAAAATTGCACCTTTATATCTATTTTTTAGTTTGTTTCTTCTACTGAAAAATAAATATTTTTACATTGATTAATTCAAGCAATTCAATATGTTTCTCTTTTGTTTGTTTTTTGCATAAATAAATGGAATTTGATAACTGCAGACAGTTGTAAATTTATATAGTCTTGCCAAAGTTAAATGAGACATTTCTTGGGTGGTATTATTATTATTATTATTATTATTATTATTATTATTATTAAAGAACATTTATTTTGAAAGTATAAATCAGGTTCTGCATGGATTGGCTTGCTGTACTCCCACAGCACAGTGAACAAACAGAAATACAAAATACTTTGCTTTCTGGCTGAACTCCATATCAATTCACAGCCTTATTTGTGCATAAAAATCCCCAAAGGATTTTAAATTTGACTTGGAAAGTGTTCCTTTAAATGTTGTTGTGCCCTTCATTACCTCTTCCTCTCACTTTTCCTTTTTTTTTTTTTTAATTTTTTTTTATTTCTTTTATTTCTTTATTTCTTAAAAAACCTAAAAGGTTTTTGTTAATAAGAATATTTTTTAAAGTCAAAGATGTACTGGTTATTTCTGGCAGGGAAATATTGAATCCTTCCTTTGTTTGAATACGTCAGAGGTGTAAACTTATTTGTAATGGGAGTTACATTGCTGTTAAAAACACTGTGGCTGCAATCTCCATGGAGGTCAGAGGTTTATTAGCTTTCATTTTAGGATCTGCCATATGAATGCAAGTGTACTCATTTCAGGTGGTCACCATAGGAAAGCACTGTTATTTGGCTTGGCTCTGAACTAATTTTTTGGCCCATAGGCAGTAAAATACTTCCCTGAGTTATTTCTCTATCTGAAAAGTTATGTTTTCCTTTGAAAAATAATATCCCGCTAAATTGATAAAAAGAGTAATAAATGTTGATCTCCACACTAGAATGACTTTGCTCTGAAAACAGATTGTTCATTAAACTTCAGAAAATATATCAACTGAAAAAAAAAAAAAAAAGAGAAGCACATTCACTTTGGAATTACATCATCAAGAGATCAGATTTAAAGAGCCTGAATATAAATATTCTCAGATTCCGTGCTGATAATGTCTCAGCTGTAGTAATATACCTGGCCCAAAGCACCACATTAAAAAAAAAGAAATGTAGAAAAACTGAAAAGGTTCCAGAGAATGCAGGAGAAAAAGTGTTTGAAAGATGTGGTCTTATGGGAAATTTTGAAACAGCTTGATTTATTTAGTACAAAACAGACTAACTATAATGTCAAGGGTGTAGTAGTAGTGTCCACCAAAAAAAAAAAAAAAAAAAAAAAGAAAGCAATTGATTGTTTTCATTGTGTGCTGGATTTACATTAAAACTGAGATGCTTAATTTCTCCTGGACATGAAAGTAACTGCAGATGCAGGATTGAGCTTTAAAATTTACGTTTCAATTATTACTAAGTAGATAAGAGCAAGGGTTATATGACTTCTGCCATACAGCTCATTATTCAGTTGGGGCTGAAGTTGCTCTAATAAGACTTGGTCTGTGAATCTGTCTGTTGAAAGAAGATCAGAGGTCTCTGAATGCCATGGCACAGCTTTGTTTTATTCTTATTGGAGAGACAGCTGCTGTCCTCAAGTCTTCTGGCCATTAAAATACACTAGCAATATTTTTAGCAAAGCAGGTTTAGGGCAGATACTAAGAAAAAATCTGCAGACTACAAGCAAAGTCGATTGCTGCATCCACTTCCTAGGCAGATTGTTAATCCATGTCATTGTAAAGGTTTAAAAACACCTTGGACAAACATTTGCCACAAATAGACTGGACGTTACTCAATCTAGTCTCAGAAAAGGTAGATGAAGTAGCTGATCACTTTGGTTGTTTTGAGACTATAATTTCTACAAATTATTTGAAAAATACTACTGCACATTCAAAGTATTCTTTGTGTTTTAAATTGGTTTCTGTGGTTTTTGCTCTGGTATCCTCTGAACAGAGCTGCAAAAAGGGCAGACCTTTGAATTAATTCAGCTGGATGCTTTCTCTTTGAAAATGTGCCAACATGCAGCTAGGTGATCCTCCTTACTGAAGGGCAGCACGCTGATCAGGACTCCATCCGTAGTTCTGAGGTTGTGTGGATCTTGGATTTAGGAGTTTCGGAAACGTCTTTAGCAAGCATGTATCCCACTGGATAACAGGTAGTGTTTCTTCTTATATGCAGTGCATGCTTATCTCAGAGCCTGAAACATAGTGTAGCATTACTTCCTCCTCCTATGATTTCTCAGCTCTCTTCTTCCTTGCAAGTACTTTAAAGATGAAATGTTAACAAGCTATTTCCTGTTTTCTAAACTCCTTAATGGGGGCAAATTAGGAGGTGGGAAATAGTATTTGGAAACATTGCAACAATTTTGTAAGTTATCAGTGTATAGTCCGGCCAGTTCTAAAACTGATTATAAATTATATTTCTGAATACATACCAGATATTTTAAGATCTTAAACTCTCATCATTTATGTTTTTCTTTGCAAAAATCTCTCATGTTGAGTGCTAAGTGTAGGCACACCATTATTCGTATATTGTACTAATATTACATCAAAAGCTCGGAGTGAAGAATGGAATACTTGGAAATAACTGTGTTAAAATTTCATTCTGTTACACATTCAGCCTTACATTTTGGCTTCAGAATATATAAAGCAAAATATAAGTACGGATATATGCAATAAGTTGCATCCTGCTACATAAATATACCTTAAAGTATAGTTCAAGGAACATATATATGGAACATATATATATATATATATATATATATATACACACATATCTACACACATATATATATGTATATACACACAGAGAATTTCTTTAATGTGAAAAAGAAAATAAAAGCAGTCATAACTATTAAACCTATTTAGGTTCCAAGCTTTTAAACTGAGGTGAGGGCTCTTTATTTTCAAGAAACCAAAGACAAAAGTAACTCAAGCCAAGGAGCTATCAAATGGCTCTTTTTCCTCAGGAGTCCCATGCTGTCTTGCAGGGGCCAAATGTTCTCTGTGGTATTTAGCAGTAATTGCAGCATAGGCACAACCATAAACAGCAGCTGCCAACATCATTAGACACACAATTCCACAGACAACTCCAGTTATTACTACAGTGGCAATTGCATGACGCAAATTAACAGGCCTCGGCTTTGGTTTGGGTTCACAACTTAGCCTGCTGTTTTCCCCATGTTCGTTGTGGTGAGAGTGCTTCAGAGAACTCCTGTGCTCAAAGCTGTGGTGATGAGTGGTGGCCAGATGAGTATGAGCTGTCGTAAGTGGGCACGCCCCAAACAGTTCATAAGGAACTTTGAGGAGGTCCTTGCCCTTCCGAATCCCTGGTGTTGCACAGATGATGCCATCACTTATTCCTCCTGAAAAGAAAAATTAAAGAAACCCAACAGATTATGATCTTAATATTTTGTGATTTCTGAATTCTCTTCACGTAGAGTTTACAGATACTCAAGGTACATTTATAGTCAGTGTTGACTTTATACCTTTAAAGATGTCCAACTATATCTAGAAAAAGGGCAACAAGGCAGGTGAAGGGCTTGGAGAATATGCCTTAGGAGGAGTGACTAATTGAACTAGGGCTGTTTAGTCTGGGGAAGAGGAGGCTGTGGGGAGACATTGCTTTCTTCAAATACCTGAAAGGTGGTTGCAGTAAGAGTGGGATTGGTCTCTTCTAACTGGTGACAGGTGATAGGATGAGGGGAAATGGCCTCAAGTTGCACCAGTGTGAGTTTAGTTGGCTATTAGAAAAGACTTTACAAAAAGGGTTATTAAGCACTGGAATAGGCTCCCCAGGGAGGCAGTTGGGTCACCATCCCTGAATGTGTTTAAAAACCATTTGGATGTGGTGCTCAGGGACATGATTTATCAGTGAATTGCTAGAGTTAAGGTAGTATGGTTAGGTTGTGATTGGACTTGATGATCTTGAAGGTCTTTTCCAACCTGAACTTCTCTATGATTCTCTCTTTTTCCAGTTAGATCAAAGGTAAGAATATTGCACTTTAACAATTGTAGAAGAAATTATTTGCAAGTAATAACTTTCATCAGAAATTGTTACAAATGCAAAAGTAAAGAGCAGCAGTCAAGTAAATGTGAGCAAGTAATGTCATAGATAAAAATAAGAGATATTGCTAACAGCAAATTCATTGCTTTCAAATTTGTATTATTACTTCTTTTTCTAAATTAAAAAAAAAAATATATTAGCAAACATATTTTACTTGATTGAAATAACCCGTGAAATAATCATTCTTCTGACATCATGCGTTAGTTATAATGAAATAAAGAGAAAGTATAGTAAGTTGAGTACATGAACAATGTTTTCAAGGTTTGTGGTAAGAAAATATTCAGAGTTCTAAAGAAGTTAAGATTAATCAATCTATTACTTGTTCAAGTGGTAAACTTCATAATTGCTCACAGCCAGCTTCTGCAGCCTCTCAAAGTATGTTTTTAGTATAAACGGGAAATGAAGTAGGAAGCCTCAGTCTTGGTAAATCACACCGTTGTTCCTAAGCATGTAGAGCAACACACACAGGGAGTTGCTTTCAGAGTTCTAATTAGGCCATACATCACATCCTTAGGAGTATGGTGTGCTGAGGAGTCAACAAGGCCAAAACCAATGTTTACATATTTAAAAAGTTTAACTTAATCAAGTTAGTTGAATTTTCGCCCTCTTCTCTGAAATAATCCACCTTTTAGTTAAATCAAGGCACAGAAATTTTTATCCTTAAAAGATTTTATTTGAGGAAGTAGTGAATAAAAATGGACTCAGATGAAAATCTGGAGTCTACTTCACCAAAAATATTGAGGATATTCCAAGATAGAGATGAGTATAGAAGGTTGTCCTGCTGAAAACTCGCGCTGAAATTTCTTTCAGGAAACAGCTCCTGCATAATGCAACTTTAAGCCCCGGGACAGTGTAATGTCTTATCACCCAAAATATTAAGATTAAGATGAGAGGAGTTTAGGCTTTTGTCTATTCTAAAACATTATTTCTGGAAGTGGGTTTATCTCCTGGAAGACTTTTTCTATGTCCCTGTGTTGATAATATAGTTTTCCAACTAGCCTGCAGACTTCTGACGCTGCAGTACATCACAGGCAACATGGACTATCTTCTCATGTTCCATGTTACCTTCAGGTATAGATAGTTCATCACGTTCAAGCATCAAAGCTTGATTTAGAGAAAAGTAAATTGCAGAGCTGTTTTGAATTTTGAGAGTCTGAACATACCTCCCGGAGAAAGAAATTTGCTTTAGTGCTTAAAGTCTTTCCTGCATTCATTGTAAGTAAAATGGATATGAATAAAATGCTTTGGAATGATAAAAGCTTGTTTTCTTTTTTTTTAATATTGTAAAGTTTCTCGGAGCTCTGGAAGCAAAACAAATTCTTAAATACATAGAATTAGATCATGTTCTTTTTTATAAAGCATAACTCTAGAACATATTTGAAAGCAAGCGTGAACAAAATATGAAACTACTTTACATATAAAATTTCTCAGGTGGTGGTATTCCGTATATCAATCAGGATATTACTAGTAAATTTAGTACTACAGCAAATTAGAAAGTAATATCAGACAAGAGTAGGCTTCTATAAGATGAAACACATTTTTAGGTAAGTATTCTTATAAGGAAATACCAAGTTGTAATTTGAAGAGAAATTAGAATCCCAAGTTCTCTAAATTGGTACTGATACCTGTGTTGATGCTTAGTCTCATGCATCAGGTAAAAAGCTTCTGGATGTTAGGTTGGTTTCTAGCAAAAGCATTTTGGTAGTATTAAGACAAGTACATGTGCTCAAGTTATGCTTGTTTTATATGTAGATACAGATATGGATGTATATATATATATATATATATATATACATTCACTACAGACATGTATTTCTAGAATATATGCATGCAGACTGTAGTCTCTCTCAGTGTAAATGATCCTCTAGGATTCTAGTGGACCACCTGTAATTATGAGCACACCTATATTCTGGGCTATGCATAGGAATGTATTTTAGTATGTTTATTTGATAGCATGATGCAGGAGGAAAATTGGTACACTATAGTAGTGAAGATCAGTTATCTGCATTTGGAAGGTTGTGTTCTCATGTGCATCGTATGTAATAAGGATAATTCCTTACCTCTGTATAAAAAACTCTCCAACCACAGTTTCAGGCCAAAGACATTGCAATTACATAGCCAGGGATTATCCTTGAAAAGAACAACTTTCAGGTTTGGAAGTGACTCCAGCAGAACTCTTTCCATTTTCTGAAGCTTGTTGTGCTTCACTGACAGTAATGTAATATTCCCTGTGCTGTTTCCAAAAGTCTCAGGCAAACGTACAATGCTGTTGGATGACAAGTCCAGTTCTTTGAGGTGTGGGAGGAAACTGAAGGTCTTGTTTTCTATATAATGAATCAAATTTCTAGTTAGGTTTAGAACCTGTAGGTACCGTAATTTTTGTAAAGCACCTGGTGCAAAACTTGAGAGAGAATTATTAGACAAGTCTAAGATTTTCAGCAGTGGTGTTCCAGTGAATGCGTTTTGGTTGATTCTCCAAATGCGATTATTCTGCAACAGCAGTATCTGAGTTTCAGGTGGTAAGTGGGCAGGAATTTCAGTAAAACCTCTATTCTTGCAGTCTGTGGTCTTTGAAGCCATATGGCATAGACATTTTTGAGGACACCCGTGAGCCATGTGTGCTGTGAAGACAATGCTCAGCACCAGAAGCCAGTTACCTGTACCACAAATGAAAGCAGCAATAATGCTTTGAGATTATTATAAAATATTTGTCTTTTGACAGTACAGAAGTCAATAACAACAAAAAAAGCATATACAGTACATTCATAAGCCATAATGTAGATAGCATAAATATAATTCATAATTTTAACAGTGCATGAATAAATCACAGGTATTACTGAAATACTTTTATACAATGGAGTGAAATAAGTGCTCCCAGCATCTTTAAGTGAAGTACTGCTCATGGCTTTATTTTAAGTATAAATCGCTTTCAGGAGGTTTTGCTATCAGCAAAGAAGTAATTGAAGGGAATTGTGTGAAGTTTCTAAAATTACTAAATTGTAATGTTCCTCTGTGTGCAGTAGTAATAACTTTTAGCTATCTTATGTCAGAAGAGTCATTTTTATTTTTACTTTTAAAGTTTTACTACCTAAAAAGAATTAAGTTAAAGTACTATCAAAAGAGTGACAAGCTTTAAAGGCATTTCCATAAAAAACAGTTAACAGAACTTTTTCAGCAACCTTTATATTTGTTCTTTAAAATATCTATGTTTACAATTGCTTGGATTCCAGCTGTACTTCTCATAGATACACGTTTCTACTCTCTCAGCAAACATTTGTCAAGAAACTATTATAAAGATAAATGAGGTCACAGGAGTACTTAACACTATTTAGTATTTATCATTTATAATTATCATCTGTTCCCTGATATTCAGGTCAGCCCTAACTGAAAAAAAATATATCATTTTTCTTTCACATATTGCTAGTGATCTTCCATTGTATAGGAACGTGCAATTTTATGCAAAGCATGAAGTTAAAATAAATAATCGAATGATGTTAAGTGATGTGAGTTTCTCTGAATAAAGAGAGTCAGTGATAAATTCTTTTTTCACATTGGTTTTGAGACACCTCAAACCATTTTTACTACTTGCTATTTCAGAATGAAAAATATTTTGGTCAGTTACTACTTGAAACCTTTGGAAATTAAAGGATACATTGGCTTACAAAGATCAAATATTAATTAGTAATAGGGAATACCATATGGAAGGAACAAATATGTGATTAAAACATTGAATATAAAAAACATATACATGAAAATATGAATGAAAGTTTTACTTTGAGGGTGCAGTTTAACTGATAAATTCCTCATTAATTTTCCCTGTAAAATGAAATTGCATTCACATTAAAATTATAAATAATCCCCTGCCATCCTTGAATTCTATATTGTAAAATTCATTAAAAAAAAACAAGAAAGCATACTCGTAAATAGGTTAAGCATTACATTCAGTTCATTACATTGTTCTGCAACAGTTGGTTTCAGAAACTGACATACAGCTTCCAACATGGCATTAAAAATAAACATGAGTCAAGGAAATGCCTAAAGAACAGAATAGCCTCATTATTAGTCTGAATGCATCAGTATCTCACCTGTCATTCTGCTTTGCTTGTTTCCCACCTTGAAGAAGACACAGTCCAGTTTTCTGAGGTAGAACAGTAAATGTACACTTTATTCTGGTTCCTCCTTCAAAACTGTAACATGCTCATCCAATTTCTTCTGCTTGTTTTATTTTTGTGGTGTTGTTTTTATTTTTTTTGTTTTAAGATTGTATCCTTGGCTTGAGTAGAAGTGCTACAATTTCTAGTGAGTTAATCCATCAGCCTTTGTTTTTTTTTCTTTATCACAATCTTTTTTTCCCTCAACGTCCATTTCTGGCTCTCAGAGTCTTACCCTGCTTCTTTTAATCTGTCAGCAGGCCATGCAAAGAGTGTCTGTCAACTCTAACTGGACAGCTGTAACATACAAATCATGACCTGATAGCCCCGTCTTTTTGATTATTTAATCTGCCTCACATGGAAGGCAGGAAAATAAAGCTGCCTTTTAAAATCCACTGTAGTTTCTGAATTGTGGTGGATTATTAGCTATGCTGTGTCAATTTTTGCAACATCAGATGACTCTGAACAAAGATTCTGATTATCCTGAGCTGTGACTGGAGGCAGTGGAGTGTGTAATATTGCCAGGAATAGTCATGTGGGTTGATGATATGGTTTTGACAGTGCACTTGTTTGCTCTTCTAAGCTTATTCATCTGACATCCATTAGTTGTGCTGACAGGCTTTTCTTGCATGGGAACACAGAACTGGTGTCTCATTCTATAAAAATGGCAATGGACACCAAGAATACTGAAGAAATTTATTTCCAAACATTATTTGAAAAAAAAGGAATGTGTTCTTACAGTGCTTTGATTTGCCTCCTTCATACTACTACTCATTCATACTGTATCAGCTACAACAACAACAACCAAAAAGGATTAATGACTTGTGACTATGAAATAACTCAAAGGTGTTTCAAGGAATTAATGATCTAGTATAACAGAGTCTTTCATGATCGTATCATCACTCTATCATCCACTACCTTTCTTTTTAGTGGGGAAGTAGTGCAATCAAAAGCTTTCAGGACCATTCTGACATGTAGCATGCTAACTTTGGTCCAAATTCTTCTTTTATGTGATTTTGAGAAAGTCTAACAATACTCATTTTCTACTGCAGAATAGAAGGAATTGTACGCAAGTGGAGGTTGAAAAGGACATCTAGAAAACATCTGGTCCAAACTGTTGTTGAAAGCAAGGCCTTACATGAGGTTACCCATGTCCTTGTCAAGCTGAGACTTACATGTTTCCAGGAAAGCATCTCCAAAGCAGCTCTCATGTCTGCTACTTTCCAGCAGCCTTAGTCCTGTCTCTAACTTCCAGATCAGCCTTTTGTGTTCCTAGCCTTATCCCTTACATGCTTTTTTTTTATTTTTTTTTCACGCTACTCATCTCATATGCCTCCCTGGTCAGTGTTTTGTTTGTATGTTTGTTTGTTTTTATCACATTGGTTCTCCATTCCTCTCAGTCCTTCATGTCTCCTCTGTCTCTCAAGCCACTCTCATCCTCTGCAATAGGCATCTTTAATCCCCTTTTCTTGGTTTGAGGAAGAGATTTGATGTGCTACTGTAAAGGAAACTGTATATAGAACAGTAATGATTATTATAGCATGCTTTGCTGAATTGATTCTGAGACTTTTCAGAGTACCGAAAGAAACAATGAGTATTGCAAAATGGTGACAAAGAATGTGGAACAAGTGGCATTCTGTAAATAGATGTGAGTATTCATCTCAAAGATATTAGGATTATTGCTGTGAATGGTAGGTCTATTGCCTTTAACTCACATGAACATCGACACGTCATCCTGATTCAGCCTGAAAGATTTCAGACTAGCACAGAGAAAATCTGTAGATGTAGATTGCCAGGTAGCAGCCATAGTAAATAGCTTCAACTTTCCAAAGGGAGAGGAAGATGAATGTCAGGTTAAAGAAAAACACTAATCTTTGTTGTAAATCATATTTTTCTGTGGTTTCCCATCTCATGTGTGTGCATACACACATTGAAGAAACACAGAAACAGACCTATCTGAAATAATAGCACTGAATCATTTTAATGAAGACAGAACTAACTGTAAGAAGGGCAATTATTAAATACAGTAATCCTTAGAAATTGTAGCCTTTGTAGTTGCAGATGCTCTGCTTTGTTCTTTAAAGGAAGGAATTTAGCTCAGGTGCTCGTTGCTACAGTTTCCCTCTGTCCTTGACATAATCCATATCTTGTAACAATAGTAGCCCTTCTCATGACTGTTTGTTATATTACAGAAGGTATTAGCTGTGCTGCTGTTGTGTTATGATAGCACTTATTCATACTTGTAAGTTCTCTTCAGAATCTACATTTTTATTTTTGCTCCTGAATTTCCAGGTCCACAGAACTGTGGGGGTTGGAATGGACTTTTGGGGATCATCAAATCCAAATTCCTGCTAAAGCAAAGAGTTCAAAGAGTTTAATTCAGTTTCTTTTTTAACTAGTTCCTCTTTAACTAACGTTTGCTGACCAGGTAGGCTTGCAAGCTCCCACAACACTTTGTATCATCTAATGGTAGCCTTAAAGAATGTCTCCTAACTGCCCCTCTTATTTTAGGTAAGCGTTTGCTGCTATAATTGTATTATTTTTAGCACTTGCAGTATTAAAGAGATGTTCATAGGACAAGGTCACACAAAGTTAAGCGCTGTGGGAGGTTCAGATCCAACAATAATGCAGAGGTTGTTTTATGTATTCTGAATTGCGGTGTAAGAAGTTATTACTCTTTTTAAAAAAATCTTCATGCTGGATTCAGATTTGGAAACATATGATTAAATCTGTCAATTTGCTTTTCATGTAGATGTGGCCATTTCATCTTCACATTGAGAACTCTGAATACACATATTTTGTAAACAGAATTTTCCCTAACCTATAATCCGTTTCATATTCCCATTTATTAGTAATAATACTTTGGTTAAGACGGAGAAGTTTGATGTGGTGAAAATTACAGCTGTGAAACAGGTAGATTTGCCAGAAACAAAATAACTCATGAAATTTACTCTACTTCTGGGCTTTTGAACAACCAGCATGATTCTTTTCAGTTGTCTGATGTGGTGCAGCAGTGTGTTATTGTGACTGCTTAAATTAACTTGTGCCTTGTTGCAACAAGACACGTTTCCCTTTGCCCATGGCAAGCTAGCCTGGTAAACTCATGTCCTATCCATTTGTGCTGATGGGGCACTTCACTGTCAGATTGCCAGAGTATACTTTGTTACAGAAGTTTATTGCTTTGTGCTTCAAAGGAATGTACAAGAATCATCTTTTCCTGCAGAACACTGTATGAATTAGACTCTAGCAGAGAGGGGAAAAAAAATTAGTACGTGTATCAAATACTTAAAGTCTATAGAATTCTGACTACACATTTAGTCCAGACAGACATGATTATATGAAAAAGAAAAAAAAAAACAACAGCATTCCTCAAACTATGACAGAAAATTCCTGTACATTCTCTCGTTCTCTCCATTACACTTATTTTCC